AACATCTCAAAATACCAAAATTTAAAGACAAAACCCATAGAGAGGAGTAGGTTATCCCTACCTCAAATTCGGAGCCCCAAAGGAGATGAAGACCAAAACCAAAATGCTCCAAACCTCGAAATTTTCAGATCAAAAGGAAGCTCTCGACGATCAACACAACTTTTGTGAAGACAAAAGGTGAGTAAACGACCCGCGTAACACATCCTATAACTCAAATACAACGTAAGAAAGGATGTAAACAAGATAATAAACAACTACCAACATCCACGGACACATGTCCGGATCACTATACAACAAGGGTAAACCCGGGATCGCTATAGTGACTTCAGTGCTTTTGAAAGGGTTCAATCAAAGCATTGCAAGACTGAACTTTGGAGCTCAATTGGCCTCACCTTCTAGAAGTTCAATCATAATGAGAATGATTGGAAAAACAAGCATCACCATTCCTCAAGGCTTAACATCACCAAAACTCGGGCATTATATATATTTATATATACACATTTATCCTTTTAATACAAATTGGAGTCCTAGATTGTAGGCTTAAAGCATAACAAGAAGGATAAAGCAGAGCAAAAATGCTTCCCATATGGAATGTAATACCAAAAGTAACTTCTCAAGCATTAAAGTTCAAAAGTTAACATTCCACCGCAGCATATAAACATGCATAGGAACACATATGAGCACATCATTTAGAATAAAAGAAAACAAGATTTACATGGATAAAAAATGCTACTTCTACCTGAGAAAATAAAATGATATAGGTTTTATTCAATTAGGTACCTTTTGAAAGCTTAATGAGAACCAAACTACTAGCATTTGCTGTGGACTGGAGCATTGGCCCCAAAACATGGGTTGGACACACTCTTACAACATCAAGCCCACTTCTTTTCGCATACTCAAAAGCCTCACTTTCTGCTTTTGTTTTGGAAAGACAATACCAATTCTAGGGCAAAGAACCAAAAAATCAATATAAATATAGAAAACATTAGCATGGAACCTACAATTTTAAAAAGCTTTGAATAATATCAAGTAGAAATGCACTACAATCGCAACATAATCATTACAAGTTTAAATTTAAAGTTGGCTTGTTTAATTGATTACATTAGTTCTTCTGCAGTATTCTGTATCAGACCAACAAGTCTCGTCCTTCACTTGACCCTTGGGCCATTCAGGGTTCAAGGAAACAGCAGCTCCAGAAGATACAACCACCACTCGTTTGACGTTTGCTTCAGAACATGCCTTGAGTACATTAAGAGTACCCTTCACAGCAGGCTCAATTAGTTGCACCTGCACTAAAGCTATTAGATACTATGGAAGTAAAATAACTCACCAAACTCGTAATACATTAAAGTCCCATTGAAGATAAACATTCAATGATTACACATGTCATCACATTTCAATCCTGTGACGCACTTCTTTACCTGTGGATTAACTTTACTATCACAGATGCAACTAAAATGCCAGCAACTCCCCCAAGTGACATGCCACATTGATCCCCAATTGGTGAGAAGTAGGGAAAGGTGCTAACACTTTAATAGACAAGTGCACATAAAGAAACTAGTCCAAGAGTGTAAAATACAATTAGGAACTTGGAACATAGGAACAATAACAATGATTGGAAAGAGAATGAATAATTTTTTTTTTACAAGAAACAAATGGGCAAAGGAAAATCTACGTACAAGGCGATGGAAATAGATGATGAGATTGGTATGTAAGAGATATAACAGTGGTTAGAGAGGCGATGGAAAGTTGAGGAGAGGGAGAGGGAGAGGGATGGAGATGGGGATAGGCATAGGGATTGGGGGACTTACGAGGATCTCTGACGGTTCCATGGATGGAGTAACCATTAGAGAGAAGAAGCTTCACCAACCAAGAAGCTACGTACCCTCCCGCCCCTGTCACGCACACTGTGCCCTTCTCTTCCGCCATTCACTCGCTGAGTCAACCACTACTACGCCCTACAGCCACCACAACCCACTCATACTGCCCTCACCTCATCAAAAACACACAAGTTTTATAAAAAAGATAATTACGAGTCGGTTACGGAGGCTTTTCCCATATTAAGTCTATTTTGTATCTTAATTTTTAAATTAGGTCTAGTTTGGATGGAATTCTCAAATCAAGCTAAAGCGTTATTACAAATCGCATTTTCACTGTTTGGGGCCGAAAAGTTGATGAACATTGAAAGCGCTATTCGAAATCGCGCTTTTAATTAAGAAAGCATGGTTGCAAACCATGCTTTTAACATAAATTTTTTTTCTGAAAAAAAACGTGATTCCAAACCACGCTTTCACTATGCATCTCGTTTTAATTTGTGATCTGAATTTCACTGTGCATATAATTTTTTTTTTTCCTGAAGAAAGTACTATTCAAAATCACGCTTTTACTGTTCACTACAAGAAGCGTGGATTGAAACCACGCTTTCACTGTTCATTTAATTTAAATTTTTTTTTCTGTTGTCATTGTTTTGGTGGTAATGTAATTCATTAAATTTTTTTTTTTTCTTTTGCATTTGTTTTGGGTTAGAAGGTGTAATTGAGAAAAAATTTTTGTCTTTACTAAACCATTTTCATGTAATTTTTTTTTTTTGTTTGTTTTTTGTTTTGGGTTAGAAGGTGATAATGTAATTCATAAATTTTTTTTGGCTTTACTAAATTTTTTTTTGGCTTTACGAAAAAATATGTATTAAAAAATTATATAAATTAGTGTATAGGAGAAGATTTGATGGAATAGGCGGTATAGTGGGCTGAATCCAAGGACAGCGTCGGCAGAGTAGAGGCTAGGAGATGATTTCCTGCTTTTTGGACATTGAATTGGAGGTGCTGTTCGTTTTAGAGGGCGACAGCAACGGGCTCTAGGGGAGTGCGACAGAGGATCCGGATTCATTTTGGCAACGCAGACAGAAGCCACAGAGAGAGAGAGAGAGTGACAGATTCTTTCCTATTCCCTGACCAACTACGCCGTGCCACCTCATGTTTTGAATGAGATCTCCCGCCACTTGGCCGATGATACCCGAGTACTAACAATAAAAGACTCATTTTATCTCTCTTGCCTATGCTCTCTGCTACCCTTCCTTGTGGGGTCTTTCTACTAGTATTACCATATCTATCAACATTTTTTTTCACCAATTTTACACTACATTTTTTTCACCAATTTTACACTGATTCATTTAGGACTAAGCATGAAATCCGTGAAATTCATAATCTGATTCAGTTCAGTCCAATTCGATAGATTTAGATTGATTTTTTTAATCCGTGGTTCGGTTCTGGATTGAACTCCACGATTCCGAATTGGAACCGATCCAGACCATATACAAATAGTCTATATTTTTATTATACACCATACCCCATAGTATATTCTCTTATTCCATATAAAACCTAAACCCAAACCTAAACTTGCATAGGATCTTTTTTTATTACTTTTGTTTGTTAGTTTTTAGTTTTAATTTGTAATGGTCTTAATACTTATGGTGAAACCAGTTTTCTTATGGTTGTTTAAATTCTAGAACAATATGTCACTATTATAGAAAGATATGTTGCTATTGTGAAACTAATATAGTGTTATGTTTATGTTCTTATGAAATTAAAGTGTTATATATATTTTTTTGTTACTTAATTATGTGAATCTGTGATACTAAACCGATCCAATCCGTGTTTAAATGGATTGGTTTAGATTGGTTTCATGATTTAAACGGATTGGATTGATTTCAATTTTTCAAGAACCGTAGATAACGGATTGGTCTTGGTTTTACCTCAATCCGGTCTAATCCAGACCATGCTCGCCCTTAGATTTATTCATTTAAATATCAATTATAAAATAAATTTTAATTATTCAATAACAAAAAATTAAAGCCTCATTTGACAACTCCGTGCTTTAGCCTAAAAATCAAAAAATTAGTAAAAAAACTAAAAAGCCAGCAATTTATACCAAAAAATCAAAAGATCACTTTTCTCTCTATTTTTTGCACATCTTTTCATAAAAAATTAAAAAGTCATTCCAAACATACTAATTTTTTTTCCTAAAATAATATGTTCCCAAACGAGTCTAATTGCTTCAATAAACTCTTTTTATTACTACATAAAAAGTAAAAAAAAATAAAAGTTCAAACAAAATTGGAGTTATGAAGGCACATTACCTTCAAAATAAAAGAAATTTTTGGTGCAAGAAACGAAATTAAAAATTGAAATAAAAAACGTAGGTCTTATGAGAAATTTTCATAAAAAAAAGTTGTACGATTTGTTGATTTTTTTTTCTTAGAGTATATTCTGTGCGCTCTTCCACCTTTCTCATTCATTTGGTGAAGTATCTCTGTATTTTTTTTAATGAAATTATGGCTCATTTTTTCATTCAAGGAAGAACTCTTCCATGTTAAGGTTTGACTCCCATGGAGCTGGACCACAAACAAGGGTAAACCTCTGTGATTTGTACAATTGTTTGCTATGGATTTTTTTTATATTTTAAAAATATATACATTGAATACAAATACAACTTCGAAATAAAAAATCCAGAAAGAAAACTACGCACGCACGTACGTTGGTGAGAGCAAAAACCCTTGATTTTCTAGTGAGATAGAAGATCACAGTGCTTCGGCTAACTGGTATATCAACGGGGTTATGCTCACAAAGTAGGGTATGGACAACCAACCAATAACTTCGTACTTTTACTTCCAGACCCCTTCATATGTATGTCCCCCTATTATACGTTACTCAGCACAAGAAACCAAATAACCCAATAATGGATAGGAAAATCTACAGGAAGTGTTGTTCTTTATATGGTTCACGGTTTCCAGGATTAACTGAATTACAGAACATGAGGTATTACTTGTTAGAACAATCTTCTATGTAAAAAAAATAAATTGAAACTAAATCAAACAAAATAAAATAAATAACTTACAGAATTTATTTTTTTGAACTGAATGAAAAATAAAAGACCAAGTCGAGTGTGTGACACTCTGTTCTTAAGACAAATTCGCCCTGGTTCGGTGCTTCCGGACTAATGGCGTCTATCTCCCAGGATATAATTATCTTCACAAATTTATAGTAGCACTCCAAATAAATTTGTCCGGCGAACTAGAACCTTGTGTTCTATACTCTCTTTAATTTTTCTCTAAAACTAGAATGAAGAATAAATAATGCAAACAGAGCAAAGTTGGACAGCAAGAAAATCAATTTTTTCTGTCTATTTTCTGGATGCAAAGACTGCAGAGCAGATCTGAATTTATAGGCATCTAAGACTGCCGAACAGGTGCAGTATTTTGAACTGAACAGGTAAGGTTTCAAATGAACAAGTGCAAACACCAATTGAACAGATAACTGCTGGAAATAAGATCTGTTTGAACTGTGTGAACCTATCGAACAGTGCAGATTTGGAACTGTAACTGCTGGGCAGTTATGAGCAGTTTTATGCAGTTAATCTGTTGAAAATACGGACTGAATTTGGTAATATATGGACAGAAAATTAATTTCAATTTTGACACAAAATTGGAATTTAATTTCATTAAGATTTTCTGGAAAAAATTCAAATAAATTTTATCCAAAAAATTAATATCAGAACCGACCCACAACCGCGCACGGCTCGGCTTGGCCGGACGGGCGGCGGCGCGCGTGTGGTAGTTTGGGCTAAGGTTCCATTTGTCCATAACTCCTCCCTTCTACAAACTTGAGGTGCCCCTTGGGGCCCAACCCAAGTGTTGTAGTCTAGAGCTTATATACAACAAAAAAACTTTCTTAAAGTTTCAATGTGGGACAACCCATTTTAAGGAAATCCACATTTAAATCTTTAAATGTCCATTCCACGAACCCGAAAACGACGTCAACTTCCCATTCACTCATAAATGGTTTTGAGGAACCGTTTTCACCGTGTGACTTGCCACGCAACAAGGAACACGTCACCTCTTCAGACCTGCCCTAAAAGACGTTTGGAGCCCACTCCATTTTTGGCTCAAAGTTGGCCCAAAATAAGCCTTATAAACCAATTTTTCCAACATTACTCGTATTTCAGGATGACAGCTTCAAGAATACCATCAGATCTGAAGTGGGGTGAAAAAAGCCTTGGATCAACAGGTCCTGGCGGACTGAAAGAAAGTGTGAATGGTCCGGGTGGGCATTGTTGCTGAAATTTCATTTCATAAATACGGGAATGTCTCAAAACAGTTTTTCCACCAGTTGATGTCACACCATTTATTTTCTCATTTATTTTTTTCATTGTGTCACTGTTGCAAATAGCAACACTATATAATTTATTATTATTATTATCATTACTTGTTCTCTTCTCTATGTTTTTTCCTCAATTTTTTTCATCATTTTTTTTCTTTCATCAATGCTAGCTAGCATCACCCAATACCATAGCAACTTACGAAACATGAATTTTTCTTTTGTTTTGTAAACATATTTGTGTATTTAATTTTTTTAAAGAAAAATAAACATAATAACATTTCATATTTATAATAAAAAAAATTGATTTGAAACAATTACCAAATGTTACCTCATAAATATATATAAATTTTTTTTTATCATTTTATCTTTTCACAATCCTATATTATTTTCAAATTTTAATTATCATTAAAAAAATAAGTCAATATTTCTCAACTTAATAATAAAATTTTTAAAAATAAATATAAAAGTGAAAAAATATCTAATCACGTTACAATAAATTAAAATTAGATGATAGGGAATGAAAGATAAAGAAATTATTTAGAATAATAAACTATTTAAATTTGTCACTTCTTACATCTATTTAAAATAGAATTTTACTTGAAGAAATAAATTATTTGAAAATAGTAACATACTCAAATAATCTGTTATTTATTACATCTAAAATCTATATCTCCATCTTTGTTTCTTTCATTTAAATTAAATCTCAAAATTAATTCAAATAAGAAACATGGATATTCTTTCTTAATTTCATTAATGGTTGATTTTTTTTTTTAAAAAAAAAAAATTGTAAAAGTTCAAAACTTATAGTAGAAAAAAAAATACAAAGTCAAGGAAATACCAACCAAAAAAAA